TTCAGATTTCCAGAGTATGAAGGCGCTACGCTGCAGTAACTCGTTCTGTTCACGTGACTCTCGGTCGTGACTGTGACATTACGACAGTGTTTAAAGTCAAATGTAAAAAAAATACCTTCTAAACGTGCGGACAGCACGGAAAACAGAACTTTGTATGAGCAGAAGTAGAAGGGAAAATAATCAGAGTTACATCTACACCCATTGCTGCCTCTCTTCATTTATGCATAGGGGGAAAATAAAAGCGGTGGTCGGGGAGGAAAGAACACAAAAGTAAAAGTGGGCCCTTGGGTTTTCATGTCTGAGCCTGAAGCTCTTACAAGAAAAAGTCAACAAGTAGGAAGTGTGTTGCTCCAGGCGCAGGGATCAAGTTCAGCCGAGCAGGAAGAGAATCATTATGCTCTCTGGAGCGGCCAAGTGGTGTTAGAAACCCCTGTAGTCTCTTCTCCCAGTGTTCCACAAATAAACACTTCCACGCTGCTAACTAGCCTTAACCAAACACCAACAGCTTGTTGCTGACACACACTCTCACACACCAACAGGGCTGAAACTATTAGTTGATAAATCGATTAGTCAACTGGCAAGAACAAATGAACCGTGGGCGGTTGTGATGAGCGATTAATGGTTTAGGTTAAAGTGCTAAACATCCTCTGGGTCCAGCTCCTCTAAAGTGAGGATTTATCATCAATGTCAACTCAACCTGTTTGATTTGGACCGGTGGTTGGACAACTTATATTCTAAAGACACTCGAAGAAAATTCGATTTTTCCATCAATTCAAACAAATTAGATCATTAAAGAATGAAAATTAAATAAAAAATAATATTTTAGTTGAGACTGTCAGGCAGGGGGCTGTACCTTGTAGGACTACGTCTGCTGTTATTGAAGGTATTACATATATTAAAAACTGCATTGTTTTAAATTCTCACTGTGTACAGTCTTTGTGCTAAGCTAAGCTAACCAGCCGCTGGCTGTAGTCTGTATTAAACAGACAGGTGTAGCATCTTCTCCAAGAGAAAGCGGAAATGTCAAAAACATTCCTTTAACAATGTATATAGAAGCATTCCTCATGAAGACGGCACTGAAAGGACTTCACTATAGAGTCCACCCTGTGCTAGCTGTTGAACTGAGCCGTCACCGTGAAGCTGCTCTCTAAAAAGCATTGAGATTCCAGCTGTGTGTGACCTTGTGAGAACACTATCCTGTGTCTCGGTACCGGCTATTATTAGCCGCCTCCTGCCAAACAAAGCGTTAATACCCTGGACAAACACGCGGTCTGCCGGCCATTGAGCCTCGGCTTCCAGCCTCTGCACTCAAACGGCCCAAACCCGTGTTTTCATCAGCTCCTCAATTTTGGGCAGCGCTGACCTGCGGGCACGTCGCCTTCAAACCCATTCCCCCTCTGGCCATTAGGCCCTCTCATCCTTTATTTGTACTGCAGATATAAGAAAAGCCACAGTCATTGTCCTCTCAAAGGACTCTAATAACTGACTCGTCTGGAATTCATCATCTGTTTCACAGTTTGCTTATTTGATTAACAATATATCGCTATTTTATCAAATGAGTTACGATACGAGGACTTTTAACGGTAATAAGGTCTGTTTATCAGCATGTGCAGCGTCAAGAACAACCTCCACCAACGAACTCTAATCTAAGTGAGTATGAATATGTATGCTTGTTGTATCAGCAGCAGAGAACAGAAGTCTGTGCTTAAGACAAGTGAAGTAACCACTGACTCAGGAGTTTACATGTTTTAACATTGTACACAAATAAGCTGTTTGTAACATATCTATATTTAAATCATTCTAACATAATATAACATAATATATTTGTATTGTATTATATTCTAACATCCCTGTTATAGAGTGCTGCAGGGATGACTGCTTCCCTCCACAAAAGAGGATTTTGGATTATTGCATAAAATAAGCTCTGCGACAAACAAATATTTATTATACTTACGTTTAATATAATGTATTATATTGTTCAGCAAGATAATCTTCAGAAATCACTTTCACGATTTTTGAAGCATAAATACAATCGGCAGAGCTAAAATGTTAACGTTTATATTAACGAACTACACCGCGGTCACATGACTTCACGTCATTGACTTTGAGGCGAGGCAACAGGAAATGCAAAAACGCTGACTCATTTCCAGCACTCTGTTGTGTGAGTGTTTTGATCTTGAAAACACTCACTCTGAAATCTTACATTTTGTGGTGTTTTTACTCTTAAGTCTCTTGCCTTATTTATATTTATTCTTTCAATTGTGCTCTCTGTGACGAAAAATTTTATTCATCCATTAAGTTGGGGGACTTGCAAAAGATTGATAAAAAAAAAAGTAAAAATGACGCAACAGAAGCCGAGATATCCCAACTTTAGTTCTTTATACAGTTCAAACTCCCATTACAATAAATCCTACAATGCAGGTTTCCATTAATCTGTACATTAAAAACTGTAAAAAAATATTGTCCAACAGAAATGAAGCATCGGTGCGCACAGAGCTAAAACTCTCCGTTAGCCCCCGCTAGCTTCCCTCTAAAACAGTTTACAACTGTCAGTTCTACGAGGCCGATTCTCTCTGAGAAGTATTCAGTATCATACTGAACGCTTAATAAACACCAACGCTCGAAGAAATAAAACAGACATTCCTTCATAATAACATTAATCAAGGCTGCACCGGGGGGACATCTGGAAACTCAGACGTTAGCGGTGAAATCAAACTGCAGCAGCGGGGCTGGGGTTGCGCGGCCCGCTCGCTCACCCTGCATTAGTTTTTGTATAACCTTAATGACAACATTGTCTGTTCCAATCAGCTCACTGCGGCTCCGCCGTCCATTTTTCAAACTTTATGACAGTTTTAATTGCTCCCACCTGCCGCCTGATCGACCCGCTCAACAGCCACTCTTGCTCATGTGTGGATGCAGACAAAGAAGTCTATTAGGTGCAACTTGCCTTCGCTGCAGTGAGGTCAGTTAGGCATTAAATTAGTTCCAGCACGTCCACACACACACACACACACACACACACACACACACACACACACACACCACAAAATTAAGAGGGAAGTTGGCATTGTCGAGGTTATTTAAATTTCATAGTGTCAGTACAGTTGGCTGACTGAACTCATTTAAATTGTGTTTTAGACATGCAATATACCGCTCCTAATTTATTATTTTGATGGTGGAGGTTAACGGCAGTGTTGTATTCAATACCACATAAACAGAGTTTAAGGAATAGCCAAGACCAGAGTGTACCAAGACCGAGACGAGACCAAGACTTTCAGGAGTTGGGACCAATCAAGACCGGACCAGTGTGAGTCCCACACTGCATGACACACTTTCAGATAGAATATGGAACATGCAAACCATATAGGCAAACCTCGCACTGATCTGAAAGATCCACATAAAAACTGTGTGTGTGTATGTATAAGTGAAGCACGAGAAAAGTCTTGATAAGATAAGGCACTACAGAGGTGAATTTTAAACGCGTGAATGTTTCTTTGTTTTTCTATGAGCAATCACCGTGCTGATTGAACAAATGAATTAGACAGTGTAGTTGGAATAGAGTTTAGTGATTTCTCCTCGGTTGTGGTCTTGACCCGTCTTGTAATAAAATCCAGAGTCCTCTTTCTCTGAGAACAAGATGAGAACAAGTAAAGATGCTGTCGATTCACGTTCGTAAAACGTTCTTTTAAAAAGGCTGGAATGCCACACCTCACACACGTACAGTACGTGCACAACCCTTTGCCGCTTCAAACACAATTAACATGCGTGCGAGTGTTCGTGCATGTGTGACTGAATATCTCAGACTGGGAGGTTGGTGGTCTGTTTCCTGCACAGGGGGGTTTATTTGTTAATTTATTAAAAATCTGTTTAGATTCAGCACAAATCTTTTTCATGAAGATAGTCAATAAAATACTGCACTGTCTGCAGTGTGACGAGTATATTTAGTGAATATCATGTCACCTAGCATATCAACACTGAACTTACATTGATCAAACTGTTGCCCCTAAGCACTGGCAGTCAGTTCAAGTTTAGTTCTAAACTAATGGAAAAAGGTATCATATGTGTCACGTATTCATAGATCTCTTTCAAGTTAGAAATGTTACACTCACACAAGATTCCTGTTTAGATAAGGATACTATTAAAAATTGTATAAATAATCAAAACTACCCCAATCCAAATTTTTGCAGGTGGCTTTTCCACATGAAGAGCTCTTTCACAACTGTAAAGATACGCAGAGCAACCCGACAGAAAAGCGTACCTGGCGACCTTTCCTCACTGGATTGTGTGATTTAAAAAACAAATAAAAGTAATCTACACAAAGTAGGAGATAGATTCGCATGGAAATAATATTTAAATCAAGGCTCAGAGCTACCAGAGCGTCATGATGATCAACACAAGTCCAGTCATGGTTTTGAGGAAACATAAAGTGCAAAACAAAAACTATATATACTTTAATTATGGAAAAGCAATTGACCAACTCCTAAAACTGAAGACACTTTGCTGTTTTTAAGTATTTTTTCTCAGCCTTTTTTTGTGTGTAGTTACAAAACTAAAAGACATGTTCCTGGCATTGACAGTAATTCTTTACCTTGAGTGAATGTGTGGAGATTTGTGTCTGAGGTTGGTGCCAGAATCATGGTGTGAATTATTATCCCAGTCGACCCTGTTGTGAGACAACTCACAAGATCCATAATGCATCTTGTGAGCACATGATGAATTTAATTTCATCTGGACTTGTTGGAGGCTCTGAACAATCAAGTGTAACAATTGCAAGAAAGCTGACTAGTTTATTTGAATAGTTGCAGGGAACTGTGCTTTAGAGTGATGAAAGGCGCCATGTAAGGCTACAGCTGGTTAGCCAGTGCACATTGCAGCAATCAAAAACCAAGTGTTGCATGTCCACTCGGCCACAAAGCCGCCATTTTGCCCGTGAAAATACGCAGCTGCCAGCCTAAGTGCACATTCCCAACACTAAGCAGGCTCATAGGAGCATGTGTTACCCTTGTAGCAGGTCCATGGTGGACGTGGCGACCTCAGCGTACAGCAGGGTGTGCCCCAGTAGGCTGGTCTTCAGGTTCTCTCTGTAGGTCTCCATGCTGAACTGCGGCCAGCTCTGGGACTCTAAGGAGTTGGTGACCAGGGCCACAGAGCCCTCAGGAAGCGAAGGCCCGTCCTGGAGCTCAGAACTGGACACCAACGAGAAGGAGGCCTTGGACAATGTGAGGAGGCCATTTTGATCCGCACGTGTCCGCAGCCAATCCACGAAGGTGGTCTTGGCCTCCTGTGAGGAGCAGAGAAGGACAATGACACCATCTTTTATATGAATTATCGTGGCCATTTCTCTATAGACACACAACTAAATCCATCTGTCATGTTATTGGACAAACCACCTGAAAACCTCTTAGAAAAGTTTGCTTTTGTATAACAATATACAGTACATATGCCTAGGCACCAACTAATATGACAGTAAAACTTTGTTTTACTTGGGCTAGGTATGTCAGTACTTTCTGACTTCCTTACTCTGTGGCTCTCAGCTACAAGCCTGTTGGTTCCTACTGAAGACGTTAATCTTTTTGTGTAATTACATAGTTATGATCGTATTGTTATTACTTAGTCTTAGTTTTTAGTGTTCATGGCAATGAAGGAACTTAAATATTGGCATTACTCAGTCAATAATTATGGATCTTCTGAAGCCGCAGCGAGTTTAGACACTTATTTATCTAGTTGACTGGGTTGTCATATCAGGCACCGTCCCCCAGTCCGAGCCTTTAGAGAGACATTTCATATCCAGAATCAGCTGGCCAAAATAAGAGTTGGATTTGATGGATTTTCCGTTTGAAATAAATGTGCTGAATGAGTTAATCAGTGTGTGTGGCTAATCAATGACACAGTGTAATTAGGCAGCAGTCCCAGTCTGCTCTGTTCCAGTCACTTCCTATTAATCAGGCTTCTCTCCTGTGTACTTACACACAACAAAACTTGTCTTAATGTTTACTCTGGTCTTTAGAATGATGAATATATCATCATATGTACTTCCTTCACCTCTCTTATTAGATTTGACTTTAGAAAAGATGATTTCCTTTAAATTTGATTCGACATCAATGTGAAGTCATCCTCACAAGACATAACAGGGTATGATTTGCACTCGGTATGATACTGACAGATGGATCAGAAACTCATTGTGGATAAACATACCCTGCCACATGAATGGCTGAGCATGACAGATTGGTCCCAGTGCCACACATGTCTGCAAGCCTGAAACATGACAAGGTTTGTTTCAACTAAACTCAGGGTTCATCCCAATATCCCTCCGTGACTCCTCTATCCTCGATCACTTGACCCGGAAATCGACGGAAACCTGGCATGTTGAGGGATGTCCCAATTTCAGAAAATGAGTTCAAAGAATAGAGAAGGCCTTCAGAGGAGGGGGAAGCATTATAAATGCTCCACCCCCAGCTGGCAGAATTTAAACAAGCCAGGGAAGGAAAAGCATCACAGCAAAACACAATTTTTAAGGGTATATATATATTAATTACTTCAGGCAGATAAATACTATCCGAACACACATTTTGTCAAAAAATTATGTCATGTGAAGCCGTTTGAAAATCCTACATTGAATCCCAGCTAGTTACAAGCTAGCTAGCAAGGTAACTAGCCAGCTCAGAATATGGACAAGAGATGGTATTTATGTTATGTAACGTTTTTTTCCTTTACAACTTACAGACCTGGTGCGCAGTTTAATGTAGGAACTATTTTCCTTCAACCATAGTCCCAACATGAAACTGCTCACAACGAGGTCCGTGGATTATCTTCAGTGATTCTGGAAACATGACATGGAAAATGTCATCTTGCTGTGTTATTGAGTGGCAGAGTCGATATCACATATATTTGAGATGATGAACTGTGACCACCATGGTCGCTTCCATGCTAACGTTACACTGGTTAAAGAAAATCACCCCAACAGCTGGGTGGTGGCTGACAGTCCCTCAGTTCTTGACGCTAGGAGACTACTTTGCCGGGAGAAGAGCAGGAATGAGCTCAGGAGACTAGTTAGCTAACTAGCCAGCTTGAGAGATAGACAAGCTAGCTAGGTAACATTACATTACAGTCATTTAGCAGATGCTTTTATCCAAAGCGACTTAAAATTCAGATTCTATCATATTCACACACCGTAGGCTACACAGCTACGGGAGCAATTTTGGGGTTAAGTGTGTTGCTCAAGGACACATCGACATGCGAATAGTGGAGCTAGTCCCTCTGATTGAAGGACGGCCCTGCTCTCCACTTAGCCACAGTCGCCACCTAGCTAGCCAGCTCTGGAGATGGACAAGCTAGCTTGCTAGATAACTAGCCAGCTGTCCTCTCCGTAGCTCCCATCCGCTCTCCTTCTGGCAAAGTAGTCTCACAGCGGCGTTGTCCCGTTGTCGGTTAATGTTAGCTTTCTCACTTAGCATAGGGTTCAAGGATGCTTGAAAAGGTCAGAGAATGGAGTGACATTTTTTCTCATATAACTAGTCACTACTTGTAAGACTAGTGGGGCTAGATAAAGTGTTGGCTGGACAACCGAGCGTGCCGTGGTAGCTTAGCCTAAATACATATAATGTAGATGTATAGGACTGCCGAGTGTCTGCTCTTTGCTTGGGTGAGAGTAGGAGTTAAAGCCAGCTCAAAGGTTAGTTAGGTCAGGGCGAGAGATTGGTGTCGGCTGTCAGCGGTCCCATTAGATATATGACAGCCTAACACCCACTGCAGAGCCTAATTAATGATAGGCCAACACATTAGTTAACAGAAATACTGGTCTTCCATTGGAATGCTCACCCAACTTTCACTCTATTGATGACTGTAAATAAAGAAAATAACATCTGACAACTTTGACACACAATAGGCCTCTGCACTTGTAAATGAATTCTATAATATAAGAGCAAATCCATGCCTGTCCTGATTCTATTTAACTCAAGAGCCCACTTCATTTCCATACGGAGGGAAATGGTGATTTTCCACCTCATGGCGGAGAACAGGAACACCCACTGAGCAGCGGTGGAAGTCAGTCAAACTGATCAGCACCACACTGAATGAATTAGTGTGTGCTGGAGAGACTTTTCATCACCTGCAAAGAGTCCTGCTACTACACTGATACGACAAGTGTGTCAACCTTACAGCTGTTGCAGTGGCAGGATGTAGTGGCTACCCTGGCCCCACACAGGTTTAAAACTACACAACCGATTTTTTTCTTTCGAGTTGTGGAGAGAGACTGGTAAAATGACCCAAGTGAGATTCATGCACAATTATGCCTGTAGATAGTGTATATGATTTAATTCTTATCATCTGCCATATTTATACATCTTTACACTAGTGTCTTTTTTGGTAAATTTTTGACATTTCTCGTTACTTATCAGCAGATATGTATACATCAATAGTAATAATTGGCGTAGTGTGTGTATATATATATATATATATATATATATGTATACACATAAAGAGAGAGAGAGATAAAAAGTAGGGCTGTGTATTGGCCAGAATCTGGCAATCTTGATAGTGATATTATGATTAAATATATTGTGATATATTGCAATACTTTAAGCATATGTTGATATGTGATCTTTTAAATCTAATTTTAAAAAAAACTGTCAAAGTATAAAGAACAGACCACCATTATGCATCAAGTCTGAGAAAAATGGTATTATGAAGTAATAAATTAAGTAAATAAAAAATATAAACAGACAGTGTTACAAACACATACAGCACATGCAGAGACAGCATATCTATTTTTTAATCATTAAAAATTGACCATATTTTTGAGAATCGTCTTCGTATCACAAAACATAGTATCAATATAAGTGGATCGATATTGGCGGATAATGTTACCCACACCAATGTATTGTTCAGGTTCTACTGCTTACGCTTGCTGAAAGGATGTAATATGTGACACAGAGAGGAGGTTAAGTCTGTCTGCCAAAACAGACAAATAACAGTGGTTTGATTTCTTGGCTCCAAATACGTCAATTTCAAAGTCCTGGTGAGAATATTACTAATATTTGGCCAAGGAACGGGAAGAAATCGGTGAAATTGTACTTATTCAGGGAAGAACTTCCAACCTGTTGAAAGCGGGCAGCAATGCCTGACAACAAGCGCTAATGGAAACCTCCACTGCTCAGACTTAGGACCAAAACACCAAGAGACAAAAACAACCTTAGGACTGAATAGAAGCTACTGGAACCGATGCAACGTAGTGAACCAGGAGCAGAGAGGCCGCTCTACAGACATGTTGAGGTTCACAGCTCTCCTCCACAACAATCTGGAAACGATTCTGCAGCCCCCAATTTCCATAAGCCTGCTTCTTGTTGGGACTGTGGGGGGAGTGGCTGGGGCAGCAGGGTTAAAGGTCACACAGCAATCCAAATATACAGCAATGAAGACAAAAACGACTACAATACCAAAGCAACTACTGCCAATATTAATGTAATACTATGTTTTTTTAAGGGAGTGCCCAAGTAGGACATCTCCCTTCAATGGTACCAGCCAGTGGAACTAAAGGTCACATTAGAAAATGTGACTCAGGTTCTTGATATCTGTTTCTCAGCCACCCCGGAGCTCTGACTCCCCCTAGTGGTTCGTCTTGAGTACATGCATCACCAAAACACACGTTTCAACACCCACACTATCTTTCCATTTAGTATGACAGAAAAAGATTTAGTTTGTCCCATTATATAGTTTGTCAAATTCAGTATGCTTTTCCCCACTATTCTGACCCACAATTCTCTGTGCCGCAGATGTATGAGCAAGAGGGATAAAGTTCAAGGAGCAATGTTTGTGTCCCAATTGAATGCATACTGCATGCAATAGTATGTACTTTGTAAGGGCAGCTGCAGTACGTACTAAAAGTAAAAAACATATGCGATTCTTCATGATGACCACACCGTTCCTATCAAACGCCCTCAATCTCCTGAGACAAAAGTGCAAAAGTAATGCTGCCATTCTCGTCCTTTTCTTACACGTCCCCACAAATATTTAAATAAAATGTAAATAAGGACAAATCTGTGTTCATTGTCACAAAAGTATATATTTTTGCTTTAAATTAATTGGACCTTCACTGTGCAGAATGTCTGTGCAGAGTTTGTTGTTGATTTTGTGACATCACTATTTTGGAGGCAAGTCACAGTCCAACATGATGTGATGAAGTGATGATGTGATGAAGTGATGATGTGATGAAGTGATGCGGAAACTTAAAATCTCCAGTGGACATGCACCTTTTATGGTTATCGTCAGTGCAGTGTCAGAGGAGAGACAGCTTTTTTGGGGCTATTTTAAAGGGATAGTTTGGATGTTTTGAAGTGGGGCTGTATGAGGTACAATGTACTGCGGTGGACGTATTTTAGACACCTAAAAAAATCTATATATAATTCAGACTTGCTATGTATTATACCTACACATTTTAAATGACTATTTTTCAATCATTCCAAATATTTTCTTTGAGCTTTTTATTAATCTGACTGCAGTCATTTGACATATATTCACGATAAAGCATACTGAAATGTTTTTCCAAAAATCAAACCGTATGGTACCCAAACCGAGTGTCACTCGCCACAGCCAGTCACTGCGATGGCTGATCAAAGACTGATTACTGCCCTGTTTGTACTGGCCCTCTGTACACAGACCTTCTGTGGGCCAGCTGCATATATATATACACTCAGACATTTGCATACATTAAGGATGCCAAATTGTTTCCACATGCGTAGTACGCCGGGTATCTATGCTGCTGCTCATACAATTAACTTTAACAAAAAAAATATGGTGCTTGCTTTGTGTGTGTGTGTGTGTGTGTGTGTGTGTGTGTGTGTGTGTGTATATATATGAATGAATGGATGGATAATGATGATGATGGATGAATAGACATCGACTCAGCTGTGTTTTTACATTGCTGAAAACACTGATAGACCATAGACACAGAAAACTGTTTTTTTCTACTTTTGTATTGGTACTTGATGTTGCAGAGAATAACGGGCCTTGTTATGTGGAATAACTCTGTTGGTCTGGACACAACCGTATCTTAATCCTGCGGCCCACCAACGTACCGATGGCGAGCAGCGGGGGTCTTACCTGAGAGGTGGCCAGCAGGTGGACTGGGCTTGGGACTGGAGTCTGGTTGAGCTCGCAGCTGAGGCCCAGAGAGGTGAGGATCTCCGTCAAGACTTCATAACGCAGCGCGTTGCTGACTTTCAGTTCATCGAAACCTTTGGCCGTCAAATTCTGGGGGTCGGGAGCAATTTCCAGGTGGGCCTGCAGACAGGGGAACACAAAGCATGTCTGACAAGCTTTAGACTTACCTACAGACTGTCCCAAACAGTATTTTCCTATTGCAAATATCAACATGCATTTCAACAAACTGCACTTGCAATTTAGACATATCCTCACAATACATCTCAGAAATTGCAGTCTTCTTCCTCATATCGAAATATAAATTAAGTAGGACTACGACTCAATTATTTTTGTTGTTGATTAGTTGCTGGGTCTGTAAAATGTTACAGTAATAGAGGAGTAAAGAAAACAGAAAATACTTAGATTTAAGAAGCTGCAACCAGAGTGTTGACTTTCTTTTCTTTACCAAGTTTGAGTTGTTATATTTTAGTTTTGATCAATTGTCTAAATAGTTTTCGATTAGATTTAATAGTTGACGACTAATTGATGCAGCTTGAAAGCAAAGGACAATACGAGGAGCTGCAGTGAGGACAGAGGTGACCGAGTTATGTTCCAATCCACCTCAACAGCAGCGGCAAGCTTCATAGGCAACGCTGGACAATCACATTAACTCTGGTGACGGTCATATCTGAATGTGGGTTGCTGGATGATACCCAGGACTACTGGAAGAATATCAGGCACCGTCTTACAGGATGTTCTGATAATAATGTTCATGACTGAGGTTAAATTGTTAGTTGTACTTCACCGCATTATATTAAAATATGTTATGAATATTTGTCCCCTCTCATGCAGTCCAGTGCATCATCACTGCCAACTACAACCACACATTTACCTCTCTGGAAGTGTCAATCAAAACTGAACATCACAATCTTCATAATGGTAGAATACATGGCAAAGCTGTTGTATTGGATTGCAATAAAAAATGAACAGGTCCACCTAAATAAAAAAAGTGTCCACTGAGCTGTTTGAGTATGAGACGAATAAGACTCTGAAGCTATAAACATTTCAAAGAAGACTCAGCCCTTTAAACCACTGCAATCATCCCCTTTAGCGATGTCATGTGTCTTTACCTGGCAGAGGACAGCCTCCCCGCCGTCCTCTCCGTGGGTCACCCTGACTACAACCATGTCCCTCTGATGGGGGGCGTCCCCTTTCAGCTCCCCCCAGAGCTCCACTTCCCCTCCTCCCTGCATGTCCCTGACGTAGACCTTCCCACTCAAAAACACGCTCAGCTCCAGCTCCGTGCTGTCCTCCCTGGTGAAGCTCAGCCTGCCGACCCGACCGCGTCGCTCCTCCCTGGCCTCCAGGCAGAGGCCCGCCGGGCACAGGGTGGAGGCCAGCCCCAGCACCCTGCCCCCCTGGCTAAGGTAGGTGAGAAAACAGGTCTGAAGCTGGGGGGTCAGGGGTTCCTTCTCTGCCAGGATGAGGAGCTTGGTATTGTCCAGCCAAGGGTCGCTCAGAGCCTGCTGTGGTTGGAGGGGATATATTATGTTGTCTTCCATGTTTATACACTCTGATAAAATCTGCCGGACATACTGAAAGCGCTCCTGGCAGCCGCCCGTGTACAGCAGAATATTTGGCGGCTTGATATTACAGTCCAGTCCACCGCTCTGCCCAGAAAACCCTTTGGCATCGTGGACGTCATCCAGAGTCTCAGCGCCACTGTCCAGCCCTGCTGAGTTATCATCGGGAAGGTCCGGAATGTTCTCAGCCGACGCGTATTTCACTGAGAGGATGGTGCTGTTCTCTAGCTCCAAGCACTCGTTGCAGCTGGACAGATGGAGGTGGTGTCTGTGGCCCTCCATGTGGTGATGGTTCCCCAAGGAGCGGTCCTCCGAGTCGCAAATGGGTCCCGGGTCCTTAGTGCCGCAGAGCGGCTCCGACCCTCGCCGTTCCTCCAACCTCCTCCTGACCTCCGGGGTGAGGAGGAGGCTGCCTTTGCGGCACGGTGGGTGCTGGCAGTCGGCCGGCAGGTGATGGCGCAAAGGCTCAGCAACGCCCTGTCCAGTCCGGGCGTCGCAGAGACATGGTGGTGTCTCGGTCTTTAGACACTGCTTCTCCAGCAGCTCGCTGAGGGTGGATTCTTGGATGAGGACAGCTACGGGAAGGTCATAACAATTTAGAAAAACATCAGTGCAATCTGGTGACTTAAAATTCGTAAAAAATATACATATATAATACATGTATCTCAGTTTACAAGCTAAGCCAAGTCAAAGTCGAAACACGTTGTCTATTTTTCCAGCAGATAGCTTTAGCACTTATTTGCAGTCACGATGAAAGACAGTTCAATATTCAAGTTTCCATCGACTCCTGAGAAAAATGTCTGTCTCGGCAGCTGCTAGAAGCTCCACTATGTTCACCAGCTAACTGTCGGTTTGTAGTTTGGTGCTGAGCAGGTAGTGAGGGTGAATGAATATTGAATGTGTAGTTTTTTAAGTTTACAATGCAAAAACAAATCTGTGTTTCTAGACCAGAACACCCCATGTGTCTGAGAAATCCTATACAATTAATAAACACAACTAAACAGTTTAATGTTTGACATAAAAGTGGTTAATTGCAAATATTACAAAAAGTATTTCTGTATTTAAACTCTAATACACTTCATGGCTTAAATATTCAGTAACGGATATATTAACAGTTACGAAGTTATTGTTTATTGTTATGCACCATTCACCGAGTCAAATTCATTGTATGTGTAACGTACTTGGCAATAAACAGTTCTGATTATATGTAAATCTTGAAGTCAATTAAAACGAGCATAAATTGCTAAACAGCGGTTTCTGTTCACAGCCAAAGGGTCCGCTCAAAGATTATGATGCTAATGTAAGATGTAAACGTGTAAGTGTAATATTAAGATGTAACAATCAGAAATGGTAAAATATAGTTCCAGAAGTTACCAAGAATAATATCACTAAATGTAGCCGACATCTAGTGTATAAATGACGATGAACAATGCACATACAGTGCAATTTATTAGAAATCTGCTCAAGCCACATTCTGGTTTATTAAACCGCGACTTTACAAAATGGATGACGCACAGCTCATTAAATGAAATAAGTATTGAAAAAGATATATTGCCACATCAGTAAGGTGTTCTGAGGCAGTGATATGAAAAGGGGAAATATGAAAATGAACTGAAGGCGACATACGGATTATCTTTGATGGCGTAAGTCCATTGTCCAGCTGAAGGCGATCTTCGATAAAAGCCACGCCCAGGCGGCTGAAGTTGTCCACGCTGGCCTGAGCCACGGCCCTGAAGGGCTGGCCGGGACTGCGGGCCAGAGGGAGGCAGTAGTCAGACCACTTCAGCACCTGCACACAACACACATCACTGGTTAGCTGACACCCAGGACTGATCCGCTGGAGTGCATCATGTCTGTCTGCTGCACAAACACAGACAGACTCTGGACAGAGCAACCAGCCTACATGTTAAAGAGATAATGCATGGGAGTTGTTTGCTAAACCAGGAGCAACTAAAAGTTACTACTTAACTATAGTAACATTTATTTCGATGCAATTGTCAAACCCACAAAAGATGAATAAATAATTTGAAGATCAATAATATTTAAATCTGCATTATACTGTAAGTAATACTAATGAAGTATGCCATTGAAAATAGGTTGGAAGTTGAATAATAGAAGTTGTAATAGATGTATACAGGTGTAGCTAGCAACTAGTGGCAACTCTGTGTATATACTAATATAATAAAGGCATACAGTATGTGGTAATGGTGCACCATTTTAGTTTAATAGGTTAACAGAGTTACTGATGATGCTTCCCACACTAACTTAATGTTTCCCCCAAACACTCTCAGTCGCTCAGCATAAATTATGATGTGTGCAATGGTTTTCTCACAGTGGCAGTTTGGAGAATTAGAAAATGGAGAAAATAGAAAGAAAACAAATACAAGGATAAATAAGTTATATATGCAAACGTGATGCCAGAATTAATGAACAGCTAAAGTATCTAAATTATATTAATTTACCCATACTAAGAAATACATTTGAACACTCTAAAATACTATAATCAGGAAGCCACTTGTGTGAAATAAAAACAAATGTACACAGAGATTAATAGAGCAGTGTTAAAAATGCAAAGTGAAATGGGTAAATCAAAGTGAAAACATGGCAGACACACAACATCCAGTCAGTGCATAGAGCGCACATGGCCGAGCGGTGTGAAGACAAATGGACAGCACTGGAGGAAGAAAGGAGAAACAGAAAAGTGGAGGAGAGAGGGAGCGCATCAAAAGAAGAGAAGCCGTCCTGGAAAGTGCAACCAAATGCCTCACGAGCAAAGCAAGTTAATGGTTTATAAAAATGAAAATAAAAAACCCAGCATGCTAAAAAATAAATAAATAAAAAAATAAAAATAAATAAATAACCTTACCGAGTTGATGAAAATAAATAAATGGCATCACTTAATCATGCTCTGTAGGAAAGCAGGCAGGGGATGCATGGAGATAATATTAAGAACAAAGACCTGAATACTTTTTTTCTGTCAGGTGGAAGCGCCTCCAGTTACACAGAGCTTCATGACGATCAACACGAGTCCAGTCACAGGTTGCCCTGCCTGCTCTTTTAATTTGCATATTTGTCGCTGGCACACCGGTTCCCCCTCTGCATATGCTCAACATACTGTATGTATGTTAACACCACCATGTGGGCAGTTAATAGAGCACTGTCATAACTCTTGAATGCATCATCCAACCAAAGATGGAAGGCCTGTTCATATGTGAACATCAAACAGTTCTGCTAAGTTTGATGGCATTTCACCGATAGGTGGTGTTCAGTATGATTAATAAATGACTAGATTAACAGAACTGTATCAGTATGTATTTTTGATTCTGAAATACTGTAAGAAAGGTTGGAAGCGATTGGTCACCGGAGGATGCTAAATGCAATCTGATTTTTGAAAGGTAAACGCTGGTCTCAACTTATTGTCTTAAAGTTAACTCTCAGGATGTTACAGTCTCTTTCCTTGGTACAAGTAGATATTATATACCATTCACAATAACCTAAACCGGTAATACACACAGTATTACTGTGTCTTAGTCGAGGAGGAGTAAAGGTACATCTGCCTGTTTTCCTTACACATAGTTTATCTAAAAAATGTATTTATACAAGCTTATATTTAGATAACAGCCATGAATAAAATATGAAAAAATGGACATAGAATATAACAGATATGAACTATAGATTCATGTGATTTGGGTATCATGAAGTTGGCTGTTGGGGCAAAATAAATCAGGTTTACTAAATTAGAACGGTGCTCTTGAAGATACTACTTGTTAGACAATGTGTGGTGCCTACTTTCTTATTGGACGTGTGAGGAGAATGGTAGCCCACTCTGTGTCCTGCAGCTTCTATGATGAATGAAATGCTCTCTATTCGCGGACCGCAAACCAGAGAGGACCCCAACAGCACGGTCCATTTGCTGAGGTCGTCGCACGCCTGGGGACAGCACAGGGAAGAATGACTCCAAACACTACCAGGCTGTTACACGGTGATTAGTAGTTAGTGACGGGGAGGCTGCTAAAATGATTTGACCATAAAGGCACAGAATGACATCAAGGCATGTAGACAGTGACACACAGGCTCATATCAAGTTAGGTCTTCAAGCAGTGAAATCTCAAGTAAGTCAAAAGTCCAAGATTAGTCTCATAAATGAGGACTCCTCCTGACTTATGTCTGACTTGGGTCTATAAGTTTTTGTGATTTAGGGCTATGTATGTAAACCTGGTTCTGTTTACAGTAAGTTACCAAACAAACACTGCTGATTTGTTTTCCTTTTTCATTCAATTTCCTTAATCACAGCTGTTGAAGTACTTTGACTTAAGTTGCGTTTTGGAATTCAGGACTAGCAGGACTGCTAGCTTCTTGCACCACTGTTAAGTAGCTCTAGAGCTAAATGAGAAATGTAAACAAGGCGGTGACAGGCCCAGGCCGGATCCAGTTATGCGATATCATGCCAATTTAAAGCTAGCTCAAGCATCTAACCTGAGGCTCCGTGACATAGACAGCCTTGTCTCCCAGCTGGAGGAAAACGTTGTCCTCGGCTGGAAGCGGACCGGGCTGCCGGCGCGCAGCTGTGTGGCGCTCGGTCGGCGACGCTGTGTCCGGTGCTGAGGCCGAGCTCGAGCAGACTCGGAAGCTGAAGCTGAAGTTGCCGCTGCTCAGTCGGGAGAGGCTGTTACGTATCAAAACCGAGTAGCACTTGTGAAAGCGCACCCAAAGATAGACGTAGCACACCGTTATTAACATCTTAACCGGCCAACACGAAGGGGGGACATCGTGACTGTTCTTCTCGCCATTTATGTTATGTTGATGTTGGCGGTTACAACATGACTGCTGGCTGTAACGTCAAGCCGGTTGCTACGACTCTTCGTCTCTCTATTTAACAGTGGGTAGAGTAACAAGCGTTATGGCGCATTACCGCCACCTATGTTGGAGTGTGTGCCAGTGCTCTTGGGCTAGTAACAAAGAAGATGGCGAATGTTAACGTCATTACGTTTTTTTTCAGGCAGGATATTAAAAACAAAGGAGGGAATATTATTCCCCAGTATTTCTGAACTGTTTGAAAAAAATATAGGCCTATAAAACACAAACAGGAGACAACTAATGTTACACCCTGCCCTTACCTCAACACAACCACCTCCATACATTTTTATTTATTTATATATTTATATCTTACCGTTTTATTTTAAATTTTGCTGAGATTCTGTTTGCTCTTTTAACACTGCAATGGCCACTTAAGTAATGCATGAAATAATTGTTAGCATGGATGGATCGGCTAACAGTCGAGGTGACTCCTTATTGGCTGAGAGGCATGAGTGACACGTGACACATCGAGGCGGGTCAGATACCTGGTCCCTCCGCCATCATGAGGCACAGCTTAGCTAGTGCTATAAGAAACTGAACCCATCTGTTACCTGTAACGTTACGTAAGTCTGAGTTTTACTACTCAATATTGATCAGGCATCTATATGGATACACTATGAGTGTTTTTAGGAATTGTTTATTTTATGGGTGTTCTTTTCAGAAGCTAACGTTTTATAAAAATATAGTTAATGTTAGCTAGCATTTTATTAGCAGTTTTGCTAATTTGCCATATGATATGGATAAAGAGAAATGTCTTAAAGAGAACTAGTGATAAGTTATAATCTGAAAAAAAGAAGAAGAATTTTTAAAGTTACGCTAATTATAAAAGGTAAAGTCCTGCATTCTAATACATTATATGGGAACTTTGTATGTTGGATTTTCCAGAACACCTCACAGAGAGATGATGTCATAAGTAACGTTAACATTAGAAATATATTACTATAAAGGAATAAAGGGGTGAATTCTAAATGTATTAAGTAAAAGTACTAATTCTTAATACTAGTTGAAAGTGTTATATATTATTCACTTCTTGCTGTGAGGCAGTGGTGCTAAACTGAATGATTTTGCGTAATTACATAGATCACTGGTGTTTGACCTGCATCAAACATGTTAGCTATAATAGCATCCACAAGGTCAAACGGGCTTCAACAAGTTTGACTTCACTGTAACTGTCTGCTGGGTCGACCAGAAACAGGATGAGCACGCTGCCATTCCCCTGCCCTGTGCATGTGGGTGTTGTTACCACTGGAGGCGTACACGCTCAACTGCACAAATACACTTTGATGGGAAACCTCACCAAGTTGGAGAAACTTCTGAATAAGGGTATGTCACTTGGTTGCTGTAATAGCACCAGTATTGTATTTATAATTGTACCAGTAATACGTCCAGGTTGGCATCATGCAGATAAAGATGAATCCAATACTAGTCTTAAGTCAGACACCCAGTGCTTGACATAAAGGGACGCTTGCGCTCCGTGTTTCCTGATGTGTTCCAGGTGTTGACGTGGACTGTGTGAATCACTTGGGCCAGACTCCACTGTTCCATGGCGCTCTGTCGGGCCAAGCAAAGGTGACGGAGCTGCTCCTGCGTCACGGGGCTGATCCCAACCAGTAAGTCTGGGCCTGGCACTCACTCTAAGGATACTTGTAGCTCATGCATTCTCATAAAGCTTACCTCTAAAGTCCTGGTCACGCTGATAGAATGATTTAGACTTTGACCAATGACACCAATGACTTGTGTCTTGACTCGAACTTTAGCCCTCTGGCCTGGAATGACTTAATTCCGCCACAAACCCAAAGATTCAAGGTGATATCATGCAAAAGTGCGCCGCGTATTAACTCTTCATATTTCTGACAAACGGACATACTTTGAATACATCCAACACGAGCCCTTTGCGCAAGCAGAAGGGACAGATGTTTGTCAGTGCACATCAGCACAGTATCACATAAAACATACCAGTGAGGAGACTTCTATTGTAGCCTAGAATGAAATATGTCTGTTGTTTGGTTCATGGCCTCTCTGCCAGCTGGTGTCCGTACTGAGCTAAAGATCTTTTGTGAGGTAAAAGTAGCATCGCTGTTTAACATCACTTTAATATGCTGAGTGGACGGTATGTCTTTGCATTGCTAAAACGATATCAAACCTCAACCCGAGACCCAGGAATAGAATACCTGTAGATATCAAATGTATTTAAAAGTTAGAAATACAGAGCGCCTTGCTAGCCAAGTGGTTACCGGCCGCACATTGACAACTGCATTGTCTCAGGTTCGATTCTGGCTTTATACGTAATATACCAACTGCTGTTGACCTGTGCTTTTTTTGGTCTTGACTTAGAACTTGACCTGGAACTTCCTAGCCAAGACTTACTTGGTACTTGCAAAACAATGTTTCTGTCACAGTTTTACAACACAGCATATTGATTACATTATCGACTCTCTTCTAGTCGCTGTATGGACCGGAGCACCCCGGTTCACGCGGGCATACTCTCCTGTAACCCTTCAGTGGTTAGGGGCTTGCTAGACGCTGGAGGAGATCTGAGGTTTCACGACTGGGAGGGCAGGACGCCCTTTGACTGGCTCAGGACTGTGAAGCAGGAAGGCAGATCCAGGGTGAGCCGTTCAGTTGTTCAGCTTGCAGCGTCTCTCTCACCGGATGCTGGTGAAGTGCGACATGCATAGCTGCAGCACCAGCTTGAGCATACGTAACTTAGAATAAGTGGACTGATGAAAGAGGAACTCCAGGGATTTAGCATTGCACTTCCATAAAGTTGAGGGACGAACAAGAGATATAGCCAGGAGGAAGGAAGTGAGCAAGGAAAAATATTGGCTGTGGTAAATAAGAATTTCAGGCCACAACAGGCCACCAAATTTTCTTTCATTAAGAATATAAAAAAAAAAAAGTTAGAAAGTTAGTTAGAATGGTCAAGATGCACATCTCTCTCTCTCTCTGCATGTTTAAGCTTGAGCTGCTGCGTCCTTTATGTTAATCCGACAGCATTCTGTTCACACTTGTGATGTTGAAAGTGATACAGAAATATTTTTAGGTCCAACCTGTAACATTCTCCCGGTTACGTGAAGATGACTCGGCAACTCCAACATGTTAAATTACACCCGTGCTTCTGTCTCATCAGATGCAAGACTTCCTGGAGAGCTGCATATCCTCCATGCAGCAGCTGTGTCCGAGCCCAGCCGGGACGTCCCGCACGTCTACATCCATCTTGTCACACCCTGCGTCTCTGATGGATCGCATAAAAGCATGGTACGGCCCACGTGGATCACACACTTATCCAACATGATATTGTTCTTATTGAACATATAAGAAGAAATAACATCAGGGAATTAGAATAGCGTTCACACAGCTCTGTCGTTAGTCGTGTAATGTATAATCAACCGTTTCTGCGTTTCTGCTCCCTTCAGCGGAATTGAGAGGCAGTTCAATAAGAGGACAAACAGCAAGTTTTCCTGTACAGCTGCCTGCTGTGTAGGGTTTGGAAAGGTATATCACTTCATACAGTATTCAGTAGATGCTGATTTGTTACGTATGTGTTCTGTGTTGGCTGGGAGTGACACTATATGTTTCAGAAACAGTTAGAAGCAAATTAAACATGAACAAACCAGCTGCACAGCTTTCTCAAATGTGTCTGAATGTTTCAGTTAGTCAAATGATGGAAGCCTACTTTTTAGACTTCTGGAAGCTTCTTCCTGTTCCTGTAAATTGTAGGTGCACTTTGGCTGGTGGTGGACGAAAAACAAGTTTATTGATATTGCTGTCTTAAATAACAAATAATACAAAGAAATAAGACAATTTGGGCCTTTTACTTCATAACTAGCTGACATAAATTAGAAAGCTTCAAAATTACAAGACATTTGATTTGAATTAGATTTGATGTTTTTCTTTTATCATTCATTGCAGCGTTAGAAATGTTAATGGTTATGTGTAGGGGTGGCTGTGGCTCAGGGGGAAAGTGGGTCTTACTTTAATTAAAAGGTCCGGCTCCTCCTGTCGGTAGGTGCTTCACAGCAGCTCACTGCTCCCAATGCTGAGGATGGGTTAAGTTTAATGTATCTATACTATGCATGGGACGACTGAAATAAAGTCAGTGTTTAAGACTCAAAGCTCAAACTTTGTTTGCCGGTTTGAATTTTTTCACATGTGGAGAATAGTTGAAAACCTTTTATTGTATTACATGTACAATCTCTCCCTGTTATCTGGATGAGTGGATGGGACATACAGGCTGACAGTCTCTGTGACAGTATGGTCTGCACTGGGTGTTCTCCTGAAGTAAGGATTGTTTGTCTAGGTGTGTGTTAACAAGCTGTGCCAGGCGCTGGCTGTGCCAGCATCTGTCCCACTGATGAGAGACAGTGATCTGACCCAGGCTGACGATGAACCTCTGCTCTCCTTCTCCTGTGGCTCTTTGACCTCTATGACCAAGTAAGACCGTTACGTCACACAGAACCACAATCACAGAATTACAAGTGTGTCGACACATACCGGGAATCAGACTCTCAATGTTCTCACACACAGAGAACCAGTAGTGAGGGAAGAGGGGGCTGCAGCTCCCCCTTTTGGTTAGAGTGAAAACATACATAGCATCATACTTTTTATATCATCAGCCAATCATTAGAGTTCTTATCAAATCATAATTGGAGAATATGTCTATCTCAAGTAATTAACACCATTTTTCCTGGTTTCGAATACACAGCAGAAAGTCATACCAATGACTTACATTCACATTGTTTATCAACACACTAAAATAAAATAACATCGTGAGAGAAACACCAGGAATTGGGCTGTTATTATATGAAAGTAATGACTTGTTCTTCAAGCCAGAGATATTTGATCACATTGAAGACCAAATGGTGTGTTTCAGTTCCAGCTGGAGGGGCTCCAGGGTGACAGTAAAAACAATGAAGGACAGTCAGACAGCCTATCCAGACCTGCTGCTCATGGAACAAGACTACTGCAGGTGATGGGGTGTGGTCTTCAGACATTGTTTTGGTTGTTGACTTGTGGAATTTCTAAAGGAAGCTCTAAAGTAATATTTTTAGATCACCACCGATACCGACATCGAGTCCAGAATAACCCTTTTCTCCAAGAAATACGGGAATATGTATTCCTATGTGGAAAGCATCATGTTTTTAATCCATATCTGGTTTTCATATCCATTTGTATTAAAGGTAATAACCCTAACCTAAGGTAACAACTAACCCTAACCTCAATCCAAAGAGCTGTATGAACAGGCTTGGCTTAGCACATAATTGAGCAAAGCAACTCTTGCCAGTAACCTTTATTAATGTGAGCAGAAACCTCAGAAACACAACTTATTTTTGAGTTTGGATTGTTTTATTTATGAGCTAACATTGGCCAGACCTGTGTGCTGGACCAAAATCACTGCAGGCGACCGGATCAACCAACAGACGACTGAGAAGCACTGTCCTTGAAGCATGGAGCCCCTTCTGCACTCGGAAGGATCTGTACCTGAGGCCAAACCTCTGGGTGTGACAAGTGTGATCAGTGGGACAATTCAAGTGTGTTTTGACCTTCGCCACTTCTACATAGAGATTATGAAGCAGAGTCCACTCCCCAAGTTTTCCTTACTCGAAAATCCTCTCAGTTTCAACCAAGTCCGGCTGACCTGAGGCCGGTCTGGGGAGCATATCAGCTGTGGCGAACCAACATTCATTTCACAACTAACTTAAAGACCAAAATTTAGTGTGTGTGTGTGTGTGTGTGTGTGTGTGTGTGTGTGTGTGTGTGTGTGTGTGTGTGTGTGTGTGTGTGTGTGTGTGTGTGTGTGTGTGTGTGTCAGCCAGCTGTTCCACCCGCAGCTGCTGCAGCTGATGGCGGTGAGTCTGTCTGATGACCTCCAGAGGACCAGTCTGGTGTTTGAACCGGTCGACGTCGGCACGCTGCACACCCTGCTGCACATCAGGGTAACAAAGACACACCTGGAGGATTACTTCATACTACTACCAGACACATAGAGTACATGAGATTCATGGAGGCTTGTCTACACGTGTTCTGGGGGCCTTGTTGCCTTTGTTTGATAGCTTACAGTGTAGAGATAGAGAGATGGACAGGAAGCGTTTCCAGATTCAGCTTTATTTTTTTCCCAAATTCCCCGTTTACCATTTACATTTTTCTGAATTCTGGAAACAACAAGAAAGGAAATTAATTTTGTTTCTGACTTTTCTCCTGTACTTGCTTTTTCATTGTGAAAAACTGGATACTTAAACCTCTTTAGGACAAACAACCTGAGAAGTAAAAAATCCCTCCTTGTCTAAACTGATTACATAGATTTAAAGGGTTAAAAGCCAAACGAGTTGGAAAAAGGTCGTCTTCGAGCTCAGATGTGACATTTTCTGTTTCAAACAGGTCTGGAGTTGCAGTTTGTGCCTCCGTTTTATTAATGAAAGGAAAACTGGAGCATTCCATCTCCTGCTTCACTCAAAGAAGTGACAGAAACAAACATGGAAGACCTCATAAAGGCATTTTGTATGTCAAGCAAATCAAACCAAATGCACCATTAAATGTCGTTTTTAAATAAATGTAGGCATTTATGCACATTCACAAATTCATTTACCGGCAAAAATAAATATGGCACGGAAATACATTAGAGTGAGAGCACTGAGAGTCCAGTGGACAGACTCAAAAGATGGACACATCAATCACTATCTGAACACTAACTAGTGAAACAGTTTCATTCTAAATGATAAGCAAGTAGTATGTTGTGTAAGTCGCACTGTATTGCTGCCCTTTCAAACCGTGGGCAGTAAATAGTACTGTACTTTGTGTGTGTGTGTGTGTGTGTGTGTGTGTGTGTGTGTTGTCTACTCCCTGTCCGTGCAGCGTGCAGAGTTTCCAGTGCTGCAGGACAGGTGGCTGCTGTCAGTGATGTTGCAGGTGTGCGAGGGTCTGCAGTACATCCACAGGGGGGGCCTGGTGATGAGGGCCCTGTCCTCCCACAGCGTGGTCCTCACCAAGTTCGCAGTAGTCAAACTGACTGGTTTCGGCTTCATGGTCCCCAGGTAATGCAGGCCCAGACCTTCACCAGACCTACACCACACCTTCACCAGACCTTCATCAGACCTACACCAGACCTTCACCAGACCT